TCTTAGTGACATTTAAACAGATTAGCCAGGCTGTTATTTAAGAAATCACAAGATGATTTGACACAAGAGATAGTCAGTTCTTTGGGAAGATGGGAGGCCAATCCAAAATTGCAGCACTCACATTCTCTAAGGTACCAGGAGGTCATGGAAAGAGTGATCGATTTCAAGTCAGAAGACAAGGGTTTGAACCTCAGCTACTTATTACCAGGACTGCCATTTCTCTGGTCTTAGGTTTCCTCAGCAATAAAAATGAAAGGGTTGGACCTGATCATCTTTAAAGTCCCTCCCAAATCTAAATCTTATTATCTAACCCCAAAAAAATCCATTTCAGAGCAAGAAATTTTTATGGGAAATACGATTCCAAATAGTTCTCTGGAGTTGAAGAGCATCATAAAAAGCTGTCTTTGTTTAAAAAAAAACACCTTATCAAATATTGCGCTATATTAGTTACTATGTCACTTTCTTTTTTCATCTTTCTGAACTGAATTGGGATTTATAGGGAATTCCCAATCAGGAACCTTGTTCCACCAAAGTAGGTCTGGTAGCCGCTCTGCAACTTGGAATAGGAAGAGCTTCTTGGGGCAGTAAGAACTTAAGTCACTTGTCCAGAGTCCCACAGGATGTCTTAGAGGCAAGGCTTGAATTTATAACTGTCTAATTCTAAGGCCAATGCAAATATAGCCTCAGACACTTAACTAGCTATGTGACTCTGGATAAGTCACTTAACCTCTATCTTAATCCACTGGACAAAGAAATGGCAAACCACTCCAGTATCTTTGCCAAGAAAACCCCATGGACACTATTAGAGTGCTATGGCCCCACAAAGAGTCAGACACAACTGAACAACAACAAAATCCAGTTCTCTAACCTCTCCCTCAAGCCTCCCCTGCTTTAACACAAGAAAAATCTCCCCTCTCTTCCTCCTTGTCTCATAGATTAACAAAATATGTTGATTCACCATCCTTGTCAAAGAGCCCTCTCTGGGAAGTAGATGAGAGTGTGGGACGCTGGCAAGATCACCATGTTTGGAATCAGAAGCAATGGGTTCAAATCTCAGCTCTACTACTTTACTAGCTGTATGACTCTAGGCAAGTCACAAGAAAACTAAACTAGGCAAGTCTGCCTCAGTTTCTTCATCTGTAAAACAGAGATAACAGCACCAAATTTATAGGGTTAATGTGAGGATCAAATGAGATAGTAATTGTAAAGAGCTTAGCAGAGTGCCTGGCACATAGTATGCACTACATAAATGTTAGCTATTACTACTACAACTATTATTACCACCTTGGTCTGTAGTAGATGGCCTTCTAGCTCCAAGTCCAAATTAACAACAATAGCTAGCATTTATCCAGCTCTTTACCATTAGCCTGGCACTTTGTAAATGATCTCTCATGGGCTCCTCACAACAACCCTATCTATGACTTCAGTGCTATTATTATGCCCATTTTACAAATGAGAAAACTGAGGTTGAGAACAGAGATCACCCAGTTCCATACCACTAGTAAGAGCCTGATTTGAACTTCAATTTTCCTGACTTCAAATCTGAAGCTCAATCCACTTTGCCATCTTGATGCTATCATACTGTGAACTAAAGCACAGCAAAACTCTCCTCACCTCATCCTCTTGGGATCACCAGCTCCCTTCAGCTGCTCCTCCTACAGAGAACTTTCTTGATCCCCTCAGTTGCTGGCCCTGTCTCCCTCTCTCTCCAACTTCAGCAATGAATCTGTATGTAATTTGCATTTACTCCTCTATGTACATGTTCCACTCTACTCCTTAAGGCTGATTTTTATGTTTCTCTGTATGCACCGTACCAGCAAGACAGTCCGGCAAATAGTAGGTGCTGAACAGATCAATTGTTGGTTTGAATTGAACGTGCTTTTCTCTTACAAATGTTCTCTTCCACCAGACCAGGACAATGACTAAAATGCCTATTTCCAAGACAGCTGTTTGCTACATTGTGTCATTCTAGATGATTCTGTAACATCTCCTCTAAATGTTCCCTCCTCTCCTCTGACACCGCCACCACCTGGGTGCAGGAACCCATTGCCTCATGCTGGGACTGCTGCCTGGTCTCCCTGCCTCCACTTACTTGTCAGGCTGATCTTCCTAAAGCTCAAGTCTGACCATGTCACCCAGTTAGTCAAAAAAGCCTCAGTAGTTTCCTAGTCACCTCCAAGATCAAATATAAAATCTTCTTCTGTCTTTCAGAGCCCTTTATAACCTCATCCATTCCTACCTTTCCAGGCTTTTTACTTCACTTGTCTCCACATACTCTTCAGACACTGGCCTCCTTACACACAACATTCCATCCCTTGGGCATTTTCACTGGCTATCCTCCAAGCCTCTCTCTCTCTCTCTCTCTCTCTCTCTCTCTCTCTCTCTCTCTCTCTCTCTCTCTCTCTCTCTCTCTC